ATACTTTGTTTTTAAGCTTTTCAACTCTAATTTTTGTTGAAGAAATTTTAGGCATTAGAAATAGGTGGGGAAGTATTTTTTTAGGGGAAAGAGGATACTGTACTTAGTCGTGAAACCATATCAATGTTAAAAGTGGTGATGAAAATATACTTACCTTGATTGTAAAGCTTTAGAAACACTGGGGCAAAAGAGTAGGCGCTTTCTCCTCATCCTTATTCCCCTTCCTATTCATGGCACCTTAACCCAGACCCTTTGGTTCTGTTGCTCAGCACTCCTTCATTGCAGAGATCCAGAACCTATTTTCATAGCATTCTCATCCTTTTATTGTTGTGTCATTTTCCTTGCTCTTTCATGTGATGGTGGTTAAGCTTTCCAAAGTCTTAAATAACCATTTTTATTGCCTTAAATTGTCTAGCATCTAGGACACCTGACGACGAGGAGAAAGGGAACAGTGAACCCTGTTCGTTGAAGCCTTGGGGGTAAAGCAGAGGGCAAGATAAAGAAGACTGGTAGGCTAGAAGAACACAGACAAAGGAGAGAGAATGGTTTACCATCCAGGGGAACCCAAATTTAGTTTCATTGTATCCAGGAATTTTGACTTTGTAATACTTGTACAATTGCATGGTAAGGGTAATTATGGAAGACCAGAAAAACTATTAATATTGATGTTACTAATACATATTAAGTGACTAAAGGGGGAGAATTGAATTAAAAACTACGCTAAGACTCCAGTCCCCAGTTACTTTTGTCAGATATTTACCATTTATGCTAGATTGTCTATGTCATATATTATTAATAATTAGATATCTGATTACAACCAATTCTGCTTGTACAGTTTCTGTAGTTGCCCATTAAGCATTGTCATCTACTTATAATTTTAATAAGAGAAAGCATTCCCTTATGTTGTCCCTGAAGAAATCTTGGTATCCTTTTTGTATATTTTATAGCTTTTATATTTTATAGCTTGTTTCGTACTGCTTATTCTTGTAATATGTGTTTTGACTTAGTTTGATGCTATATTAGGTGTCTCACTTTCTAATTAGTTGCAGAACACTAGTCTGAACATAGTAGCATGCCTTCCTTGTGGTCAGATCTCAGTATTGTGGGATCATTCAGTATTGAGCTTGATTGGAAATCCTATGTACTCATAAATATAAATTTCATATTAGAAACAGTTACCTAAGCTCCATCCTCTATTTTGTCATTATTGGTGGCTTTCATTCTCAAATTAATAGTTTTATGAGAGACACTACATTTGGTACCAAAAGTTACCCAGAGGTTGGCTTGCTTAAAACTTCAGGTTGGATGTGGGATATGCTTGCTTAACTCCAGAATTATGATACTGAGCCTAGTTTTCTTAGATCTCACCTGCTCTTGAAAATATGCCATACTGATAGGGAGGTGTTTGGAAATTTAGATTCATCTGAGTACTGCTTCTAATACAGACTCTGAACTTCAGGTGTGATTCACATGCATTAGATCTAAGATCCTTTTCTAAAATTGTGGCTTTTTTTCGTAAAACAGCTTATCCTTTAAAATCTGTAGTTCCATTTTATTGGTTGGTTTATGAATATGTGCAGTTCTCTGGTTGTTAACTGTTTATATGACTAAGTTTGAGTTTGAATAAATTATTTAAAAAAATTTTTAAAGTAAAGAAATTAGCAAAGTTCTTATTTATTCCCTTTGGTTTCAAATTCATCGTATTCAGTTGTCTTGTTAAATCTGAGTTTTATCGGCTGCTTGGGATTCCCCCCAAAAAGTTTTTTAATTCTGAAAACAGCTAATCATCTCTTAAGCTTTCAGACCCTGCTTGGCTGCATTAAAATAACTGAAATGTCCATCTCCTCCTTTGGATTGTACCATGTGTTAAATAAATGAGGATGGTTAAGAGCATGATCTTGAAGAAGTTCAGCCTTGGTTACTTTCCCCATCACATGCAAAGAACCAGAATTGCAGAGTTTACATCAAAACTGTCTGTGGAAACTGCTTACCCGCCTTTTTACATGAATAAATTGTTGAAAAAAGTTTTTTCTTTTATTTCAGGAATTCATCTCTGGCATGTAAACTCAGCCTTTCCATGTTTAGACAAACTTCTAAAATTCTGTATCTGGCAGGTTAGGCCCTAGGGGTTACCTATAATATGTGCAGCTAATTGAGCCCCCTGTTTGGTTGCTGAAAGTTTCAGGCTGGCTGTATTTGCCCTGCATGCAGCATGTTAAAAAGCCCCAGCTTTTTTTTTTTTGCTTTGCTTTGCTTTCTTTAAGGTTTACGGAGATCTGATTTCTTTTTATTTCAGTCCCCTCAGCCTTCAAAGCTGTCTCTGTCTCAATTTCTGGCTCTCTTTGGTGCTTGTCAGTGTCTGCTGCTCCTGCTGGAGGTGGCTTCTTCTGCTTTCCATCCCTTTTCCTCTCACCTGGTTTCCTTTTGCTTTGTGGTGACTTCTTGGCTCTCAGGCCAAGTGATTTAGTTTATAATCCGTTCTCTCCAAGAGCACTATTGCTTTCCTTCTGCTTTGTGAATTTGTGAGTCAGAGCATGTTGTGATAACCTTTGTATTTTGCTGTCTGTGTATTTTCCTTGATGGTTGCTGATGCATTGATTAATTTTTGCCAAAGAAGGTAACTTGGCAGTTCTTCCTTTTTTTGGCACTTTCAGAGCACTGTTCTGTGTGACTTTTTAAAAAGGAGATCTTACTGGAAAAGAAATATCCTTTAAAAAGTATTTGTGGCCAGGGGATAAGGTCTTGGGCATTGTTTGTATTCTTAAGGAAAATATCCTACTGGTCAAATGGGATTTTGTGGCAGAGTGAAAACCCCAAAGCAGATGCATGTTCTGCGAGATTTGTAAACTCCCACTCTAGACATCTATAACACATTGTGGGAATATTAAATGTATAGAATAAACTACATGTTTATAAAAAATAAAATTTATAATAATTGTGGATAAACTCAAAGTACAGAGCTGCGAGACCATTTAAGCAGTCAGTTCCTTTTGCAAAGCAGCCCTTTTTTAGCAAAAAGTGATGAAAAGGATACTAGCACTGATAGATAAAATTGAGATAAATGATAGGCTTCAAATACAGCTGTGCAAAAGGAGATTGGGTTCTGCAATCAGGCAGGGCAAATAACGTGATATCCCTTATTTTGAGACTTATTTTAGTTTTAAGCTTTATTTTAGCTCCTTCTAATGGGACTGGAGGGTGCATGACTAAAATTTAAAGAAACAAAAAATATGCAAGTGTGTAAAGTCATTCCTTTGAGGAAAAATGTTCCTTTTGTTTTCTTGTATTAGCTTCAGCCAAGGAAACAAGTTCCATATGTTAGTAGTATACTTGAAATACTAGAGGACTCCTACTTATATGAAAGAATGCTTTGTTAAAATGTAAATATTTGTGAAATTGTAGTGAAGTCAGATTTGTAGCTAGATACTTGAAAATAAAAGCAAAAACCCAGCTTATGGTACCTTTCCATAAATGCCCCATTTTAAATGCTGACATACCTTACTCTAGGCACACTTATTTCACTGGCTCTCTTTTTTGCTCTTATATAAAGGGGAAAATACTTATGCGTAGAACAATAAATACGTCATCAATTTGACATAACTGAAGGTGGGCTTTCTTCTTAGTAAGATTTTGCTGTCTTCAAGTGAGGCAGTTTTAGGGCTAAGAGAGAATACTGCAAGTCTTGTTTGGGAACTACTGGTTTATATTTGACGAGCTTTATAAAAATCCCATCATACCTCCTGAATCAGTATCTGTGAAAGTGGAGCTATATATATATATATTTTTTTTTTTTTTTTCCAGATTTTATTTGACAGAGAGAGCAGGAACCCAAGGGGGGGGAGTGGGAGGAGAAGCAGGCTTCCCGGTGAGCAGGGAGCCCAATGTGGGGCTCCATCCCAGGATCCTGGGATCATGACCTAAGCCGAAGGCAGACGCTTAACGACTGAGCCACCCAGGCGCCCCTGCATTTATATTTTAGCCAGATCTTCAGGTGATTTTTTCTTAAGGTCAGGAATAAGTAATTACTACTAAACAACAGAGTAAAAATGTTAGATCTTACCGCAGTATAAAATTCACATAAAGATTGGTGGATTAATTTTTATATCAAAATAAGTAATTTTTTATGAAGTAAAATATAAACATCCTTAAATATTAGACTTCTATGTCTTTGTCCTTTGCCCTACTTTGGGCTGTGCTTACAGATTCTTTGGGATGTATGAATTCACTCTCCTGCCTGTTCAGATGCTTAGGGTAGATATGTTTAAGAAACACTACTATTGGGATACTTAATGAATTATTAGGGCAAAGGAAGGAATAATAGATTTATTATCTTTCAAAACAGTGCTGAGGCAAGGTGGAGAAAAGAAAAACTGTTAGAAGAATTGAGTAGAAGAAAAGGCAGAGAAAAACTTGTCTCATTCAACCTTTGTTTTTTTGTGTATAAGCACATAGTTATTTTCTGATCAGTAAGTAGTTATTTGTACCCATGATAATGGACGAGCCAGTTTAGAGGAGATGGTATATATATAACAGTTATTTCCTTTTGCACATAGCACCTTAGGTGATAGCATTGTTATAGGTGGAAGGGGATGTTCCTGTCGCCTGTAATTCATGTTGTCTCAAAATTGAATACTTTAGTATTTGTAATGCAGAGAGTAATGAGTAGAATTTGAAAAAGCATTCTTGATATAGTTTACTGGGCCAAAAATGCATGGTAATTTATAAATTTTTAAAGGGAATTTGTGAAAAATAGCTGAAATAAAAAACAGATGACCTGGGTTTTTTCCCTGTGTGTTCCATTTCCTACGTGCTCATTCACACAGTGAAACTAGTACTTTGTGGATTGATGAGAATAAACAACAAGCAGTTGTTTATCTTGTTTCTGGCACTTATTTTGTTTGTTTTTAATTCATTTTTAAAATAATAAGTTCTGTGGAGAATATTTTATTTCTTGGTAATACAGAATATTTGAGTGTTAATGGAATTTTATTCTTTCTTAGGTCATGTTTACTGGTGAAAATATTCCCGTTCATCCTCATGTTTATAGCAATGGTCATATCTGTTTATCCATTCTAACAGAAGACTGGTCCCCAGCGCTCTCAGTCCAGTCAGTTTGTCTTAGCATTATTAGCATGCTTTCCAGCTGCAAAGAAAAGGTAGGACTTCTCAGAATTATTCCAGGTAATATCTCTTTTTTTAGTTTAGGTAGGGAAACTATTTTAATACATAATTTATGTGAAGGAAAGACTTAATGCCTTTTATTAAGAAGTTATAGGTAATATGTTTAGTAATAGATTAGAAAATTATTTTGGTAATCTTTCATTCCACATAGAAGTCAGACATTGTTTTATATTTCTTAAACAGAAAATTTCTGCAGATGTTCTTAAATAATCTGAATTTTATTTCTGTAAGCATGCACAAGGCAGAAGTGTGTAAGAAATTCTCATTTCTAGATTTCACAGTGGAAAGTCCCAAGAGCAAGTTTCATAGTTCCCTTCTCCCCTCTGCTGGCTCCCACCCTATCAGCCTCTTTTAGGGAATTTCCCAGGAACCAGAGCTTTCCTATCATACTGATCATCATGATTAGGTTGAAAGAGGAAGGTTAGATTACCAATAGAATTTTCAGGACTTTTACTCTAATTCTCCTTTTTAATCCCCAGATTCTATGTCTGATGGAAAGGTGAAAATACCAGAAAGAAAAATCACATGACTTAAATTTAGGATACCCTTTTAAAGTATCTAAATCCTGTGTGCATTTCTGCCCCTCTTGTCATTTCTGCCTGAGGGGTAGTGTGTAGCACAGTGTTCATGTATTTCTATATTTTAAAGCCTCTTTTCTTCATGAGGGTTTCCTTTTGTGTTGGGTCTAACGGAGAAACAACCTTACCTTACAGATAAGGGATCTGTGGGGTTATTATAGCAGTTTTTTCCCCTTGTTTTCTCAAAATTGAACTATCATTTTTACTAAATTAGTATTTAGAGGACTTTAAATTAGTATTTAGGGAACTTTAAGTAGTTCATATTTAAATGATACGTTATCTAGACTCTGAAACACTCTGAGCCACTGTTTGCAAAGTGAGTTTCTTGAAATGTTAGGTTCATAAGAGGTTTCTTGGTGTTAGGTTTAAAAAAACAGGTTTTTTTTGTTATAAGAAGCATGGGAAGTAGTGGTTTAAATTGTATTTTTTTAATAGTGGCATTAAGAGCATTAATATGCAATTTTATATACCATATAAGAAAGAAAAAACTTCTGTCAGTTAAACGATGACAGCATTAGTTAAAAGGCATGTATCCCCATTCAGGAATATTAAAATGTGCAGAAAAAACGTACATCTTTGAATAGATGAAATAGGGTACACATAATCTAATTGTAGTATGACTTTTTTAAGTTTCCTCTTTGCCTGTAGGCTTTTCTAGGTTGCATTTCAAGGCTGCACTTGAGCTTTTGTTAACCCCAAGGGCTTTGGAAACAAGTCTTACTCATTTATTGTTTCCATATTTTCTCTACCCCCACACTTCCACCCTCAGCACACACATAAATTTAAAATTTTTAAGTGTAGAGTAGAGCAGTTTGCAGTTACAAGGACTTCTGTGCCCTCATTAATGTTTAATGTCTTTAGAAAGGTGAAGTAGTAAGTATAGGATTTTAATAAGAAAAGTTGAGATAAACACCAGTGATGTGTGCACATAGCTCTTGCTTGTGCCTTGTAATGATTAGCACTTTGTTTACATTTAATGTAATGATTTACAATAAATAAATGTAATGATTTACTATTACAAACTAGAAAATGATTATATTCACCATCTCCTTTACCCTTTTCTAATCCTATCTCCCTCACATTTCAGTTATCTACTGCTAGTTTTCCTTCAGAGTTAGTATATGCCTAATTATTCCATTTAAATTATTGGTAAGCTATATTATATAATATGAACTAAATTATATTTAACCAAGATAATAATTTGGAAGTAATTCTGGCAGCATTAGTTCTGTGTCAGCGATAAAAATTCAGTAAAAGTTTATTAGGAACCTAGTAGATACTGTTTTTACTGTGCTAAGTACTAGGTTACAGAGATGAAGAGGAAACTTGCTTTGGCACTGAGGGGATCTAGCTCCAAATAAGCTTTTAAAAGTCTTCTAACTACTCACCAAAAACTCTTCTTTTAAAACAGGTGAATTTTATTCTCTGGTCATTGTGGTTCTCTGAGTTTCACTTTAATATTTGACTTGAATACAAATTATAATTTTTGCTATAAGCATTTGGGAACTTTGATTTAGTCATAATTCTTTCATTCCAGTTTTCTTTTTCATAGTCAAGGATGGTTCCCTTAATTGAAGGCCTTTAAATCCATCATGTCAGTAGATTTCAGTAGATTAAAGATAATTTCTGATATTGAGAGGTCTTTCAGTAATCTACCATTTATTCTTAGTGCCCTTATAATATAGATACTCCAAACTTTCTGGCTTGTATTCAATTCCTAAAACAATTTTGGTAATCCATCTTTTTGTATAATTACTTTATTTTCTAAGAACCAAATCTGCATGATCACTTAATCAGTTTGGTTATATTCTTAAGCAAATAGAATGAGTGTGTTTTTCTTTTTGAAGATTGGTTGGGTTGTGTTTTTTTTTTTTTAAGATTGGGTTCTAATCAATATACAGAGAAAATGAATTTATGAAATTATTTGTTGCAGTGGTAGCAATTTATTTCACATGAACACAGATTATGACTTTGCAGGACAAACAGCAACAGATTATCTATTCTTTGAAGTTGTCAGGTATCTAATTTCATGATGCTAATTTTTCAGATATTTTCTCAAACTCTATCAGCAGGGTAATCTTGGGGTAGTTGTTCAACATCTTATGCTATACTCTTCCCTTTTGTTAAGTTACTATTAATATTAACTTGTAAGGGCATTATTAGGCTCAACTAAGATCAGAGTTATGTACATGAGTTGTGGAAGTGCCAAGTGGACTGCCTGTTTCCCTACCTGCTGTCTAGGCAGTCCTACTTATCATTGGTTTTTGGTTGGACCTATCTACTAACTTAGCTACTAACCTGCACTCAGTAGCTTTAATACAAATTTGACATGTTTCCAGATTTTTGTAGAGAGTCACTTAAACTTCTTTTGTCTGATCAATATCCAACGGTTTTCAGGGAAATTGCCTTCCAAAATCTGTCTTCAGTTTTGTTGGCATCACTATTTCTGCTGAAGCTCCCTTGCAGAGCTGCCATATGTTTCTAATGCTGTGCTAGTCTGGGCATATATATGGTAGAAATGCCAATATAGCTTTTCCCCCTTTTTCCTCTTACATATTGTTTGGAAACTGAATCCTTTGGTCTGTCTTAGGTGATACTTACCTTACAGGAAAACAGTAATTGTGGAGATTTATAAGTTGCTGTTAGTTTCTCAGACAAACCTAGTTAGATAGACTTTTCTGTTTTTTAATTAGTTCACAAAAGTAATTACAAATTGTTTCTAGGGAGATAAAATAAATGAAACCAAAATTCCTTAAAACCTAGTGCTTCCACTTTGGGTTAATAGTCATTCTCTAGTAATCCCACTGGAACCTAATCCAAATCACACAGGCATACCCCTAGTTTGTTTGTTTGTTTATTTATTTATTTTTAATTCCCGTGTCAAGGGTCTACTTTTCCTGCAATATATTACTTCATTTGTGCCACATTGGCATTTATATTGTTTTTATACTCTCTGTAATAATTCTTCTAAAGCTTTTACTAAAACTATCTTCTTAAATCTTCTTCCATTTTACAACCTCTCTTTTTGGTTTCAGAGACGACCACCAGATAATTCTTTTTATGTTCGAACATGTAACAAGAATCCAAAGAAAACAAAATGGTGGTATCATGGTAAGCAGTTTTATTTTAGAATGATACTTTTTAGCATTTTGGTTTGAAGGACTATATATATGTTTGCTTTGGGAAAAGAAGGGAATATATAACTGATGTATTTTTGTAATATGGAGAAGAGTCTTTAAAATATTAAGCCATTAAATGGAGACATTGGACTAGATTTTTAATGGGGCACATAAAATCATAGCTACCATACAAGTAAAATCTAAAATTGCTTTAACATTCTGAAACGCTACCATTTTATTACAAAAACAGGGTCCTTAATAATCTTCAGATGAAATTGGAATTAGTTATTGGGAAACCTATTACTTGAAATAGAAGTTTTGATGTCTTTTGAAATTACTTAGTTCTGGTATTGTGCTTAGTGGCGGGAGAGGGTTCACATTGTGAGAGATGACCCATTTAATTAAAGTAAGCTCTTCTTGTTCTAATAGTTAGTCCTCAAAAATTTGTGGTTCTCCTGATTGTAGCTATATGAATACAAGTACTCTCACTGATTTTGTTTTATTGGTTTTGTTGGGAGAGTGCTAATAGCTTTATAATTGAAAACTGCAAGCATCTTTTTTAAACTGACCTCACTGCTTCCCTAAAGAGGTGTATTTGAAATGCAAAACAAAATTTTATATTCCTCAATGTACTTTTGGGAGTACGTGAACAAAACCACCCCCTGTGATTTTTTTGTATCCATAAGAGCATTTCCTTTATTTTTCTTTTTTGAAATGTTAGCCTAATAAGAAATTAGAACTGACAGAGCTAATTAATAGGAATATGGCCTTTCCTCCTTACCTTTCTATCCATTGTGAAACTTGTTAACTGAGTTAACTTGAGTCATTTAAAAACTTTTTAAATTATAAGAGTTCTGTCAGGTGTTGATAAGTGATGATTAGAATCAATACAATAGCACTATGCTAGCAGTTACAGGTTAAAAAACACAGTGAAAGAATGCCATTCTTGAGAGCCAACGAAAAGATAAATATTCCAGCTAATGTTAATGACAACTATAGATGACCTAGAAAGAAAAAATGACAAAACTTGTAAGAGCTATGAAAAAATAGATTTATATATAAGATCTGAATATATAGTAAATTGTTTGTCACAAAACCAATGAGGAGAAAAATTAGTAAGTAATCCTGTTAGGAAGTTGGTAATCATTTTGGGAAAGAGAAATTTACATTTTACTTCATATGTAAATTATTTCCTGTGGGTTAAGTATTTTTTTAAGACAACAAGAGAAAAAAAATTTTTTTTTTTAAGCTGAGTATCAACTCAGAGGAAGGATTTCTGAAGTTAAAAGGAATCACAAAGAAATTAAATAGTTATATGAAAATTTAAACCTTTTAGAAAAACCTCAAAGCACAGTCAACATAAGGTTTAAAAATGTGAAAAACAATTATAGCTTATTAAAAATAAAGACCATTTATGAAAATTGCTTAACATAATACAATTAATTAAAAGTATAGGCCAAAAAGTTTGCAGTAATTACAAATTTAGTATTTTGAAACTATTACTGAATTGGCAGAGTTGAGTAAAATGAGTGCAGTGCTAGAAAAGAGTAAAGGATAGAATAAAATAGTACTTTCATATTTGCTGATGTTATAGCAAGTGCAGTAATATTTAACAAGCTTAAAATTTAAGATCAAGCCTTTTGTCTCAGTTACCAAACTTCTGAGAATCCATCCTAAGAAAATCATCTTTATAACAAGACGTGTTTTATACATGGAATGTTCAGTGGAGCATTATAATATACTCTGTTTCTTCTCCCCCGTGTGCTATTTTCCTGGAATGAATCCTGCATGGGCACACACAAAAGCACCCTGCCTCAAAGAATCCTTCCCCTACACACACCGCCTTGGGAACTCTTTCACCAAAGTCTTGCTGATTACTTTCTCTTTTAAGGAATCTAATAAACTTTATTACTGTGCCTAGAATGCTGGTTTTGTTTAGTTTTTAAGAGGTCCCCAGATAATTCTGATGGAGCTTGTCACTTGAGAACTACTGTTTCAGGGATTCTGAGATATAAAAAGACAAGTTTCCATATAAAATGAATTAATAATCAGACTTAAAGGAATTGTTTCTGAGCACTGAAGGTCTACTAAAACACTTAACAAGACTCTACTTTAAGAAAACGGCCCTTTACTTCAATTTACATTGCTGGCTTCTCATTCTTTTTCATCTTCTTGCCTTTTGGGACCGAAAACCAAACTGCCTTTTCGCTCTGTGCCTTTACAAGGAGCCCTTCTTGGGGGGAAAAAAAAAACCTTGAGTGTCACAGACCCTTTGGTCTTAGCATAGAAAGTTCCCAGATTCATAAAAAGTTAAGATTAGTCAATCAAGAATATTGACAAACACAACTAAATCAAACATTTTTTAAAGTGTCAAAGTTCTAAAGACAGTATAGTCATTCTATTTCAGACACAACTTCACTAATAATAGAAAAATCCCCCATTGTCTCTTCCATAGTGTTTTTAAACCACTTGAGTTTTCTAATAAAACTTCAGAAGAAATTGTCTTAGAGTAATGAATTTTAAAAATACATATATTTTGAAAGTATGACCTTCTTTACCATTCTATCCTGCCCCAATGTTAGACAGTATATTCCTGTTTTTTTCCCCTTCCTTCCTCCCTGCTAGGGAAATTTCAGAAAGATTACAATCTTTCAGGCCCTCTAATGCTGCCTTATACAGTTGAAAGGATTTATTAGAAGTCCTTTATCTAAGAATATTTCCAGAATTTCTCATTACATGCTTTTGAATAAGAAATGGAGAAAGGTCACATAGTGAAACTAGAAATATAAAATAAATTCTTTAAAATAAAATACACTTCATACGTTATTTTTCATAGTAGTTTTTATCTGTTAACCAAGAGATTTATACTTTCACGACTAAAGTAAAAAGTCTTTTAATAGTTTAAACTATTAAATTCTCCACCTTAGCGAAGAAATACCAAGAAAAGAGAGGCCTTTCAAACTAAATTTAGTCTAGGGTTTGTGTAGGAATTCATTTTATCAATAAACAGATTAAAAGTGTCACCCCCCCACCCCCCCACCCCTAAATACAAATTACCATCTTTAAAAGGACTGGATTCTATTTCAACTGAACTTTTAGTTCAGGTTCTGGTCCCAGGTACAGATACATTTTTTTCATTTGCAGATAATTGTGTTTAAAACATCCTCAGTTTATTGACTAACAGTAACAATTCTTATCTCAATATGTTTTCTGCTCATGCTTGAACCCTGACTATCTGAATCGTTCCCCTCCCCTCCCAGAATCTCTCTTTAAATCAACAGTTTGCTCCATGAGTGACCCTCATATGAAATCAAGGACAGGTAATACTAGTTATACTTTGAGATGATAGAGCAACTGTTCTTTCATAAAGGGGAGTGGGTGTAGACAATCTTCTTTGAATTTTTCCTTCACCTTTAAAAAACTAAAGCATTTCAGCTGTGTAGCATATATTGTCTTCGCCTTTATACATTTCAGAGTGAGTTAAAAGCAATGTGAAAAATAGCTCACTTTGGCCTTATAGCTGAATTTGGAAAATCTTATCATTCATGCCCACTCATAAAGCAGAACATGTCAACTCTGTTTTTGAGCTTTCCAGATGTCAGCCTATGTTTTTCTGTTTAGCTGCTTTAGTTCCAAAAAGATCTTCATTGATTAATCATGTTCTCCTTATAACACCAAATTACCAAGAAATATGGACTCTTGTTATTTATTAGCATCATCTAACTCTGAAAGGATTATAAGGTCAAATCAGAGTCCTGATGTGACCTGCAGACCTAAACAAATATCAGAGACTGAACAAAGTCTTACATGGAATTGGATGAACTTACTGAAACACTTAACATTTCAGTTTTTAGAAGCCAAGCAGAATTGTAGGCCTCAGGTACAAGCTCCGTAGTCCTATATGATGCTAAACAACATACTTGGGTCAGAGTGTTTGTCAGTATTTGTAATCAAAGAGGCAAGAAAGGTTTGGGTTTAGATTCGTAATGATCTGTGTGCTTCAGAGGGGGCTTCCTGGATGCAGGATGGATGCACTATTAATGAAAAACAGTAATTTGGCAATTCCTGGTTTTAGAAGAGTAGGATTCCGCTGATACACCAAAATTGAGCTGCCAAATACCAGTGTTGAGTTCTTGGAAAAAAAGCCTCTTTCAACTTAAACTATCTTCCACATTGTTAGTATATTTTGAAAATGTAGGCCAGTCACTGCTACCCTACTGTTACTTGTAGTTATCATAGCTTACTCATTTCTTTTTGCATTTCTTTTGAGCTTCTTCTCTAGCTCCTATTAAAGTGTAAAAAGTTACTGATAATGTGAATACATATTCCTTATTGTTACTTACTTGAAGTTTGCTATCAACCTGTTTTCCAGAATTCTTTTATAGTTTCTGTTCACTGAAGGATTAAGGTCATATCTGCATCGGAATGCAAACATTCTGTGTTGCAAATTTAGCCAGGGGTCCATATGCTTTGAAAAATCAGTTAAACAGAATAGGGTTAAGAATGAATAAAGGGAACTGACCAAAGTAAGTATTGAATAGACAACTCATTTCAGCATACAAAGGGGCTGAGGAATTTACCTATAATTCAGGGCTAGAATAGTCCATAGAAAACAAATGTATACAGTTTAGTACACGAATGAATGATTGAGCCTCAAAGTTCAAAATCATAAAATAGATATAATTCTTCTTGAAAAAGATAAAAAGTATCTTTTAATGGGATCATAAAAATATTTCAGTAAGATAGATAATAGAATCCATTAATAAAATGATCCATCTGTTTCCTGGGATCCAAATTGAACATAAACAACTTAGTTTCATAAATGATTGCTTTCCACAGATGGCAGTACTGATCTGGTTCCTGAAGCATTTTGCTTAAGGTGATAGAGAATTGAGCAGTAAAGCTTAAGACTGTAATTGAGTATTGGCTTCAGAAAACTAGGCTTACAGGAAATAGATTGGCATGATGTTTTAGATGTTATGTCCAATAAACTGTTGATTTTATAAATTTGGGGAGGAATAGAGGAATACCTTTTTTTTTTTTACAAAACTATAGACTACATTCTGGTTCCTTTCAGCTGGAACATTTCCTGTAGAATTCTAAGGATTATAAGGTGATAGGAACGTAAAATCGTCTCAGACTAGTATTCACAAACTTTCTTCCTGCCTTATAGCTGTCCATAGAATACCTATGTTAGTTGTGAACGTTTTTATATTATCACTACCTTTTAGAATTACAGAATCACTTTCTAAATTCCTAAGTCCAAATTTTACTCAGTCTAACAGACTTTTCCCTTTATTTCCTTCTGGATAACAATTCTGTTGTCTTCTGTGAAAGACAGAAGTTGGTTCATCAAAAGAAAACTTTAATTCCCTAAACTGTGGAGAGACAAACTTACGTGTAAAGATTTATTTTTGCCTTTCTTGGAAGTGGGATCCCACTTCATATCTACTGACTTATTGCTGTGTTCCTTTTCTTCTAGTCTTTAGTCTCTGGGAATATCCAGGGAGGTAGTTTCCAATATAATGTGATGGTTGTGATGTCCATTAAAATGTGATGGTTCTTATACTCTGGGGAAAACTAAATGACCTTCTTCTATAATACAGTTCTCTCTCACTCATATTTCCCAGAAGTCCAGTGAAGTTAGCCATGGTAGATGTCATCTCTTTGGAACTGGTTATTTGTACATTACATTCGAGGGTATACTTTTAATAAGGGCTTCTACATTTTCAGAAAAAAAATTAAATGGTTAATCTGAGATTCTTTTTTTCAGACCTTCATCTTGCTACATATACTTTAGCCAAGAGGTTAGATATATTGTGTTCTTTGATCACGTTTTTGGTTTTTTTTTCCTAAGATTTTATTTATTTATTTGATAGAGAGAGACACAGCGAGAGAGGGAACACAAGCAGGGGGAGTGGGAGAGGGAGAAGCAGGCTTCCCGCTGAGCAGGGAGACTGATACGGGGCTCGATCCCAGAACCCTGGGATCATGACCTGAGCCAAAGGCAGACGCTTAACGACTGAGCCACCCAGGCGCCCTGATCACGTTTTATAGACTTACATTTGTTTTGGTCCAAGATGGGTTTACTCTAAAAACTTTTTTTTGTAAACCATCTTGGTATTCAATAATCTTTTTTTCATCTATCTAGGAAACTGTTCCTTTTGCCAACAAATGAGTTTTTTGTTTCTTAGTGATGCCCTTTTTATTTCGGGGAGAGTTAGCCATGGCTTTAGCTCATACTCGTCTCCATACTTAAGTATTTGCTCATAGATTCTTTGATTACTTACAGCCATGACGGATTTGTAATGTTTAAGTCTGTGTGTCCCTGTGGGTCCAGCTATCAGATAATAGAACTCCATTTTCAAAATTCACTTAGTAAGTTTATTTCTCTAAAGATAGAGTATTCAAGGCAGGGAGTATTAGTCCAATTTTTTTTTTTTTTTTTTTTAACATCTAATCCAAGGTAGGGATTGGGCTAGGGAGAATAGCTTTATATGGATTTCTTAATCATTTGGTGGATTGTGGAACATTCTACAACAGCCTACTATACTGGAAAACTTCCAGAATGAACAACCTGATGTAGATACATTTATGTTATCACCTATCAAAGATGATATATCTTTGGAGATAAAAGCTTATTATTGGTTGTTAATTAAGTACATGATGTTCAAGTTGAATTTTGTCTCACTTTTCTTATTGTATACATTGTCATGTGGTAGAATATTTAAGGTTTGACCTGTTAGGTAGAATTTAGTGCCATCTCTTAGCTTAGAGGTCTAAGTGTGATTAGTTTTAGTTTTTTCAAGGACCCTAGGGTTATAAATTACTCTGTTGGAAGAGTGATGTTTTAAGGAACCTCTTTACATTCTTAAGTTTGTTCTACATCCGTGACATCCATATCTCCTCTTTATTCCAAGTTCCACAGTAATTTAAGAAACATACTTTCATGTGGCACTTAGAAGCTGCAGACTATCTTCTTATTTTCTTCTTAAAGATATTCTTTCTTTAAAGAATTCTAATGATTTAGATAAAGATAAGATTTATTTTAAAAATCTAGTATATTTCACCCTTTAGATTTCCATTAAAATATAGAGTGATGGGGGGGCGCCTGGTGGCTCAGTCGTTAAGTGTCTGCCTTTGGCTCAGGTCGTCATCCCAGGGTCCTGGGATCCAGCCCCGCATTGGGCTCCCTGCTCGGCGGGAGGCCTGCTTCTCCCTCTCCCACCCCTTCTGCTTGTGTTCCCTCTCTCGCTGTGTGTCTCTCTGTCAAATAAATAAATCTTTAAAAAAAAAAATAGAGTGATGGAATATTCTACGAGTTTGCCCAGCACAGAAATCAGATTTATTGGTTTTTAGTTCTCACTGAGTCATTGGAAATGGGGATTTTTATTAACAGTGTATCAATCCTAACATGGGATAGTTTGTAAAATATTTTGGCCAGTTTTTCAGCAATGCTGTCTTTGAGAGCTTTCACAACTCTTGGGTAGTTGCCACTAGTCTTGCTTCTTTCTAAAGCTGCTTTCTGAAGAGTAACCAGTCCTCAAAATAAATCCTTCAGATATGTCTTGTGAAATAATTTTGTAAAATAAGTTATGAACTCCACAATTATATATCTTACATAATGTGTTAAGGCTACCAGAAGGCATTACTAAATCTGTGGGTTTTTTTTTTAATGGCCTCATTTGTATATGTATATATTTGCTGAAAAATGTATTTTTAAATGTATTTTCTAAAGAGAAATTAACATTAACTATGTATTAATTGATTTGGTAATTGTACCTCATTTGTGAAATTATTTCCTTTATAGACTAAAGACACAACTTGCATTATCCTGTGTTAAATACCATGACATTGTTGGTCAGGAGTTTACTTCCTATCTTGTTACGACTTAAAATTGTTGCCCATAAAAGAACTCTTCAAGACTGATAAATCCTGAATATGTGCTAACATATATCAATTTAATATTAAATAGAACTAACACACTGATGCATCATTTAAGATTTGTGTGAACTATTTCTGTGAAAGTATAGAACGTGATTTGTTTGTCACTATGTAATTGAACACAAACTGGACTTTTTATTTGCAAGGATTGGGGAGACAAGTCAGACATGTAAACCATGTTCTTCTTGAAATTATTTCTGTGTTAGACTAACGTGTGGGTTTTACTTATGCATGCTTGACTTTTTTAATTATCTTTTTTCTCCTTTTCTTAAAGATGATACTTGTTGATGCCACTGTTATCATCCTCCTAGCAGAAGATAGTCCTACTGAGAAAATGAGCACTTTGATCATTCAGTCTTTGAACTTTAACCTTTGACTGGAAGTGACCTATAGGCAATGAAGACTACTTCCTTTTACTGCATTTTTACTCGTGTGCATTCTGGGCGCATGTTGATCGCTGGTTCAGTCCAGGCAACTGACATGCTTTTATTAGTCATACAGTATTAATGCAGGTGTCAGGAAATGTCAATATAATTCCATTTTTTATTTTTATTTTTTTAAGCTTTTGGAAAAGTTCCAGGTCCTCATGTATTGTGCAATAACAATGACTTCCTTGGCGGTTTTGGGACGTTCATTGCCGGCAATGGACGTTTAATAGGAAAAATTTTCATTAATTCCTGCCACCCAATAATTAATGCATGATAGGGCCTATGAAATGAATTTATTGGTTATAGTGGGATTATAAATAAAGTGAGGGATCCAACATTACTTTGAAAGTCACCCCAACTGTTTATATTTGGGTTCTATGCACTGTGATCCTAAGGTTAACAGCATGAATTAACATGCGTCTTTAAAGGACTATAATGAAAGATCATTGCGTATTTATTGAATTGTTTATATCTGCTGTCAAATTGTTTTGACATGGAAGGTTTTCAAGTAACATTGGCAGAGAGGTACAATATTGTTATCCCTATGGTGAAAATAAATTCATTTGTTGTATATAGTTCCTCAATCTCTGAAGTAAAGGTATGAGTAATCTAGGGTATGAATGGTTGAATCAAGGCTTGATTTTGGAAGTAAGAACAATGGCAGTGATGATGAAACTGCTGCAGTCCTTAATCGGGGCTCGTTTGTACAGTAACGATATTTCCAAGTAGATTACACTCTGTTACTTCCTGCTAGCCATCAGCATGAGCCCTACTGCCTAAACACTATTTCATTTATTTATGTTTGGAAAATCCATAAAGAGTTTTCGTTTGCAATTTTGTTTCTTTTGTTATGTTTTAAGTCAAGTTTGAATGTTACAGTACTTCAATTGAAAAGCTTTTGTCAAGTTTTTTCTTGTAATTTTTTCTTTACTTGTAAGTATCATTTTGTCCTTTAATCCTGTACCCTAAAATAAGAAATACATTTTTGACAGAGGCTTAATGTTTTAACAAAAGAGTGTGGACATTTTTATTTTAAAATTTAGGCAAAAGTACACTATAGAATGGTATGTTTTCTTATTTGTCTCACACAACCGTACAGTTTTTCCTGGAGGGATTTGTTTTATTTTGTTTTCTTGTTGTTTAAAAGACTTTGCTTACAGCTAGGTAAAATTTTTCTATAGAAAAAAATTGTTGAAACGTCCAATTCTCAGTACCATGTAAGTTAATGATACTGCAACTAGGTTCTCTTTTTAAAAAGCAATTATGTATTTTATAAATTACCTTTTCACATATGCAAAAATCTGTTTCTACTACAATGTTATTTTTACTAATGCCTCTTGTTGCACTCTTTTTGACATATCCTGCAGTGAATAAATATATGAATCAATTTGGGCTTAAAAATAAAAGCCAGTTGGCTGAAAGCTTTGAAGTATGTACCCCAGCAAAACATCCAATCAATAATTGGCAAGGAATATTTTCAAAATTGTTTTTAATCTCTGTATAGATGACATTTTGTAGCTTTGTACATGTTGTTAATTAAGGGCATATAATTTTACACTCTAAAAGTATAATTGCTGAACTCAGGGGTGGGTAGACTTCAAAAATATGTCTGCTGTAGAAATAACTTGAAAAAAAAAAAATTAAAACTATGGCCAGCCACCAAATTGTGGACACTGTTTATACTATAGTTAGCAACTACACTTTTTAAAATTAAACACATTTTTGTTCTTTCTTGACTAGATACACATAAGTTCTCATAATAGTCTCTATCAGTCTGATCATTTGGCCTGTTTAAGACAGAAAGTGTTTTTTGGAATGCTTTGAGCTACTCTTAGTTTTTAACTGCTTTTTAATATGAAAATTGCAGCGGCAAATTATATATTTTTCATATTTTACACAACTGCTCTAAACTACTGATTGACTTGATCATTTTCCGGGGTGGGGGTGGGGGATCTTTCTCCATACTGCTGGTCCTCTTACTAAAATTCTTTTATAAAGAAATGACCTGTGACATTTATTCGCCAAAGGAATTAATATACCAGGTCAGAGATTAACAATGCTGTCCTATAGATTAATAGATCTTATATAGCCTCAGTTGAGTTTTTTAAAATAAAAGAAGCAGTATTTTAACATACCTCTTTCTCTACATAGAGATACCATAAAATAAAAAGAAGTAGAGGAAAGTAAAGGAAACCAAATAATTTCAGTACATTTTATTAAAGAGAAGATAAGATGAAATACCAACCATTCAGAATTTGCAGTAAGATAACACCTTATTCATTACAGTACTCCCTTGAACTTAGGAATTATTGGAAACTCCTTTGCACTTAGATTTAATTAAGTTAATTTTAAATGTAAGTTACATTATTAAAAGACATAAGCCGTTTACCTAAGTCATTGCTCTAGAGAGGGCATTTAATGACTTTGTAATAATAAAAAGAATATTTCTCTGTATTGTGTTGTTGAACGACAACCAGAATACCAAGAAAATGTACATAGGATTATGCTACTTCCCTCTTCCCTTGCTCTATGGGGCACAATCTGCTGCATAGGCCTGCAGAATTATACTTTCACATTTAGACAATGTGTACTCTATTTATTTATTTATTTATTTATTTATTTTAAGGCCATTCTTCTGGTTTGCCAAATTCTGTTAAGGCAGTGATACATTCATTTCCTTATTTTGCATGCTTAGATCATGAACTTGGTGCCCTTCAAAAAAATACATTACATCAAGTAGGTATTAATGCCATAGATTTTAAAGAGAGAAATGGTTTTCAGTTTTTTTAAGATAAATTTTTTAAAATAAATTTTATGGCTGTTCTCTTAAGGAATTTAATATTCACCTCTAAAGGACTTAACTTGTAGTGGATGAATTCCTCCTTTTAGCTAGCAAGGAAATAAAGCTTTTTTTAATCCCCAAAAGAAAATGCTAAAAATTAGCTTTTATATACAGTTCATCTGGAGAAAGATCTTAATCTTTGTTGTTTTGACTAGGTATATAAATATTTGATATAAAGTAGGGTAGTTTATTAGTTTTTCCCTTCTGAAATTTTAAATATACGCAAATATATATCATTAGATTCCTGTGGTGAATAATAATTTCTTCAGATTCTTAAACAGGTATCTAGTGACTGCTTAATTATTTCCAGATTGCATCAAAGATGAACTGACAAATAATGGAAATGAGTAGTGATATGCAAATGGTATGTAACCACATATTGTTTCTGGTAATCAAGTCTTATTTTTTAAAAAGCCTATTGTTTTTGAGAATTGAGATATTTAAAACTTGTTAAAGCTTCTTCCTAAAAATAGAAGAGAAGAGGAGGTACTGTGTGTTCAGAATTTTTTTAAATAAAGAATTCAGTGTCACTAGTTCTAATCCTTTACGGTTACTGCTGCTTATATTTCTCGATCTCACTTTTATTTAGTTTCCTGTATATATTTTGGCTGAATGCTTAGGATTTATTAAGTGTATATAAATTGGTTTTCAAAAAGAACTGAGGCTTTCCCATATCTTTTCTGAGGATTCACTGTTAACCAAAATCAGCTACTGCATGATTCTGTGTTAATGCTAGTGCCTTTGCATGATTAAGATCTGTGAAGGTGTCTCTTAATCTTCACCCCTTGGTCCTAATCTTCTTTGCAGTCTTTTGTTTGTTTTTCTCTCTCTTTCATTTTTCTTTCTTCCTTTCTCCTCAAAGATGTCCGTCCAATATGTCAGTCTTCAGCAGTTTCCCTAAGTTTTCCTCTCTCCTTCCTTTCCTCCTTTCCTCCCTTCCTCCCTTTCTTCCCCTTTCCTTTTCTTGAGGTTAGGGAATCCAGAGAAGGAAGATTACTGAAATTACATCAGAAATTTTTCTTAAAGAAAAGACTCCTTTCTACAAATAAAATACATAGAATTTCTGATGCCTTATTTCGGTTCATCAGTATGTGGCTAAATTTGTTGAATAGTTGACTACTTGATAAATGAGCTGTTAACTAAGTAATTTAGTTCTTAAATACTAATATCGAGGGAGTTTTGTTTACTTTTTCGATGGTGACTCTCCCAAAGCCTAATTATTGCCCAGATGAATTAAATTATTTGTTTTGGTAAAAGTGTTTTTCCATTTAAGGTTTCTAAGCCATTTTGAGATTTGGAACTTTCTTTTTTTTTTTTTTCCCCCAAATGTGGGGGAGATTTTTGTTTTCTTAGCATAAACTACATTAAAGACAGGCTTGTATGCATCATTCCAGAGGCCCATGGAGTCTAAATATGTACTTCAAACTTAGATCTTTATCCTTAAAGTTGAAGTTCTGCTTCTTATGGTCCTGTAAATGGTCCTGTAAATGAGGTGTTTATTGTGATTTTAATTCTCAGATGTTATTGGGATTTACATTTAGGGATGAATCTCCAGAACGGTTACATGAATGTCTTTTTTTATGAAAATTTTTTAATAAAACAATATAATATCTGAAGACATTTTGAATATGTGGAAGGAATGCCTGAATAGAAGCTGGTATATTTTAACATGCCTAAAGAATTGTAATTGAGCAAGTTGAGTGCAGTTGACAGGGAAAAAGAGAAACAGTTTCTTGATGCATACATTGTCAGGGTTTTGTGAAAAGTTTGCTTCTGCAGTAATTCTAAGCTGCTTTCTCAAAGGCAAAGCATGGTTCTGGGCTTTGGCTTGTTAGGTGTGACATCACTTGTCAAATTTCGCGGTAAATGGAAAGATTGAATAATCCCACCTCTCTAATTTTAAAGCCTGAAACAAGTCGAGTAAGGAATGTGGTAGATTGACAGACGCCGTGAAAATAAATGCAAGTCTCTTCATAGTTAACCACAGATTATTGACATAAATATTGATTATCAGGCTCAGGGTAAAATAATTATTCAAAAAGATTATTATGTCAGTTATCTAGTAGCCAAGAAGTCCATGTTCAAGTTAAAATGGGCTTGTTGTTTTTAGTTGGTACCATTTTTCTCTCAATATTCAGAAATACAGATTGTGCATTTTATTAATAGGAATGGAAGCTCATGCTTGAGGGTTTGAATAGGGTGGATGTATATATATTTTATAAATTCAAGTTGTAAAATATGTAAAGCTACTGCTTTTTGAATAGAATATAAATGTTAAGATATAAATCTATATATTATATATTTTTAAATACATGTATCAAACTTTTGTTAGTTGAATATAAATTACATTGTGTGCTTTATGGAATTCAGTAACTTTTAATAATAAAGCAGTTGTCATTGATTTATTTTATGTAGACTTGAATATTAAATTGGATAGATATTAAATCTCTTTGTAGTTTATAATAATATAAAGATTTACTTATGTACTAGTTTCTCTTTACAAAGGACTGTGATCTTCCAAGGATTGTGGAAACAGTAAAATGCCCATTTCCAAAAATAAGTGCAACAGAATGAAGATAGTCACTAAAGCACTTATTCATTTAACAGATCATGTTTACTTAGTAGTGTAGCCCAGTGTATTTTAGTGGTTCTTCATGCTTTATTTAAAGAAGCCCTGATTAAAAGATGGGTGTTTTCAGAAAAGGTGGAAATTGAGACTCAGGCACTTGCTTAGAGTTACCATGAGTCTGGTGTTGCTGAACTTTAAGTTGTATGATTCATAAGAATATCCTGTAGAGAACTTTGGGATTCTTTCTTGAACATACACACAGATCAACTAACTTAGATGAGTGGCTCCTGAAGCTATGAGAAGAGAAAAGGAGATAAGCAGAAGAAGGGTTATCTCTCTGCATCTCTATTATTCATAGCAGGAAGAAATTTAATATGCTCTGCTGATATTCTAGGTTTTCTATTCATGGGGGATCTGCCTGCCCCAGGAGCACCTTACTCCTCACTGGGGTAGCTGTTCTACCATAAAACTGCCTTATCTCTACATGCTATTTCTGCAGCCCTCAACAATAGATGAGTAGCTGGTTAGATAAATGCAAGATCCATCTTCCTTTGTGCTTTGATGGCACTCTCTCCCTTTATTATAATCGTTAAAATAATTTCTACCTCTCATAGAAGGTTTAAGCCACTGTGGATAAATGATTCTGTTGAAATCCCTATATTCCTTGGTACTTTCCACTCTTAACATATGGCAAAATTAAACATGAACTGAACTGAAGTCAAATGACACAACTAAGGGTTTTCTATGCTTGGATAATATGGGCCAAGACCACAGTGGTTCTATATCTGTCCTGCTGAGAATTCCTGTCAATAAATATTTTAAATTGCTTATGAGATTTCTTTTTAATGTTTGCTTAAGGCAAAATATATGAGTGGGAGTATCTGTGTGCTCTTTCCAGTTCAGTGGAGTATGGAAGTGTTTTAATAATGAAGTTGAAATAAGAAACTAAGGTAGAAATTATCTTCTCATATAGGTACTTGGCCTTCAAGGACCTATTGTGGGTAGATAAAACTCATCAGGCAAGAACCTAATAAGGATGGCTATATCCTGCAGAAAAGGTATCCAACTTAACATTAAAATTTTTATGTCCCCTCTCACACCCCCAAATACATACTTCTCTTTCCTGTCACGATGGCATTTCTTTCTTTCTTTCTCTTTCTTTTTTGCTTTCTTTCTCTCTTTCCTTTTCTTTTTTCTTAAGATTTTATTTATTTGAC